GTGCCTTTTTCATGATCACCCCATGGCCGTGACTTGTCACTGTTCATGTTGACCATGGCAGATGCAGCATTTGTCAGGTTCTGGCCACTGGAAAGCTTGCCCTTTTTCCCGTTTTCCATGCTGGACTCTTGGGAAAGAAATCACGAGATGCGCCCCCCTCTCCCCGCACACACTTCCCTGAGTGAGACACATGTTCCCTTTCCTTGCAGGGAGTGTATCATACATAGCTTAATTCTAATTTTTCTGCAAAGGAGATTTATCTTTTTCCTGCCACTTACTGATTTATTCAGTCATTTCTTTATGTCATTAGGGACTTGAGATAAGTGTTTTATTCATGGATTATAATCGAATATGATTTTGTTTTGCTGCTTAAATTGTGCTAGCTTTGACCACTGGGGCCTTTTCATTTGGCTGCTGTGTCCTCTTAACATACTCTGAGTAATGTCAGTTTTCCTTTTTATTTTAAAGCACTTTCTTGTGTCCTAGCATTATTAGATGCTCATCTTTTATATTTCCTGCCCTGCCCCTAGAGTCATCCACTTCTCTAAAGAACCCCGATTCTATTTGTTAGAGGGATATAGACGCCAAGATCCGGGCACTGGTTGTGCTCATTGCTCCCTGGGTGTAGTGGCTTCTCTGTCCTCTCAGCTGACACAACAAAGATGTATACATGTTACTAACCCATTCCTGTGGCTTCATGTCCTTGCCCCACCCTTATTTACTTCCGTGCTAGATTGATGAAGCGTGTAATAATGAGAGATATGTTTGTTTAAAGGCAGACAGCCTTGCAATGAGCCAGTCTTTTGAGCTTAATACCCTTATCGCTTATGTGAGAATGTTTTCCTCCCTTCCCCCTGAGTTCAGTTGTTTAAAATTCTATTTTAGGCAGATATTTAGGGATCCCTGAGGGGCACCAATAGTTTACACTCTGCGATTAACTGAGAAGTTGGTTTGAATCCCTTGTGTAATCCTGAGTGGGGAAGAATGGTCTGCCACTCTGCTTCCATAAATATTAAATGAAAAAAAAAACAACCCATTACCACTGAGTGCTTTGGCCCATAGCAATGTTGTTGGGCAGAGTAGAGCTGCCCTACTGGCTTTCCAAGGATGTAATTGGAGACTGCTTTTCATGGTCCCATTAATTCATTGGGCCGACTGTTTCCGCACGTTCTCTGTTGTCATCACCCTTCTTTCCTCCAGGCAGGGAGAAACCAGTAGTTACACCTTACATGGCTGCTTACGAGCTTTAAGAGTCCAGTTGCCACCCACCAAAGTGGGATGTAGAGCATGGTCTCTGTGGACTTTCGTATGCCAGTAGTATATCTGTATACTGTGGAAGATGGTGCTTACAGATCTCTAACCTTGAAAAATTATGTGCTCTACCATGTATACCATGTCACACTGGCAAGTTTCGCCCTTGTTGATGGGCTCGAAAAAATCATGTTCCTTTTAAATGTGTTTTTGAGTTTGGGCAACAAAAATTAGTGTGAAGTGGCAAAATCAGGGCTATAGGGTGGGTGAAGTAAGGTATCTGTGTTAGGCCAGGTTGACTAGAGAAACAAATCCAGAGATACTTAAATATATGCGTAAGAGAGAGTTTTATATCAAAAAGCAATTGTATATTGAGAAAACATCCCAGTCCACTCCAGATCAAGTCCATAAGTTCGATTTTTAGCCCGTATGCCTTATACTAGTCTGTAAATTCCTCTTCAGACTCACGTGGGTGAAAAGTCTTATGGATCCAGTGGCATTGGAAGCATCACAGGGCTGTGTCTGCTGGTCTCCGCCGCATGGCTTGTCAACAGGAGGGTGAAAGCAGAGAGGGAGTGGCACTCCTCCAGGGAGAAAGAGGGGAAGTTCCCAGAGTCCTCATGAGAAGGCCACACTCACAAGGAAGCATTATCATGCTGTGACCTGATTGACAGGCTAGACTCCACTCCTGCATTCTGTTTATCAAGTTGACATGAATCCATCCTAGTGAGATTTTCCTAGGACAGCTTGTAAAAGTAAGCAGGTACATTGTTGTGATGGAAGAATATCCCTTGGTATAACTTTTTTTTTTTTAGCCTTTTCCCCATTGGTGAGGTTTTCCATTTTCTGAAAACTTCTTCCTCTGTCATCATCCATGTCCTTCAAGCCATTCTGTCAGGATTACCCCTTTGGAGTATCCAGAAACTTGCTGTAGGCTTCTGAGCTAGCCTCTCTGCCTTGGAAGCCACTGCTTGGGTGTGATCCGTATTTTGAAGGTGCCCTAGTGAAACTAAGAGCAGTGTATGCCTTGAGAGAACCCGCGTGCCGCTGTCCACTGATTGCAGAGACATGCTCCAACACAGATGTGGAATAAACTTGTGCATGTGTGAACCGCAACCACAGTAGGAATACTTTCTGACTCCCCTTAGCATGTACTGTGTTTTCTTTTTCCATTCATCTGTTGATGGATTCTTGGGTCGTTTCCCTCTTGTGACTGCCGTGAGTGGAACTGCGGTGCACACTGATGTTGTGGTTGCTCTCCACCTCTCTGCTTTCCCGTCTTCTGGAGGAGAACTGCTGGGTCATGTGATAGCGCTCATTTTGGTTTTTGAGGAACCACCACCCTACTTTCCACAATGGCTAGAAATTTTGTATTCTCACAGCAATTGCTAAGGATTCCAATGTCATTACTTCCTGTCCAGTCTGTGTGATTTTTCTGTTTTTCTTTTTCTTTCCATCCTAGTAAGAATGTAATGGTGTCTCATTGTGGCCTTGCTTTGCTATCCCTCATGGCTAATGACAATGAGCATCTTTTCACTACCTTGGCAGCCATTTGAATATCTTTGGTGAAGTGATTGTTCAAGTCCTTTGCCCATTTGATGATTGGTCAATTGCTTCGTTGTTGAGATATCTTGAGTATTTTAGTTATTAGATTCTTGTCAGATATGTGTGGTTTCCAAGTATATTTTCCCAGTTAGTAGCATGCCTCTTCACTTTTTGATAAAGCCTTGATTTTTATCGTGTCTCATTTTTTTGTTTTGCCTTTTGCTCTTTTCCCTGTTATTATATTCCTTAATCTATTGTTGAAACTAAATTTGATAATGTTGCCCTTGCTTGCTCTTCTAAGACTTTTACTCATTTGGCTTGCACATTTAAGTCCTTAATCCAGTTTGAGTTTGTGTGTGTGTGTGTGTGTGTGTGTGTGTTTATGATGTGTGCCAAGAGCCCGCTTTATTTTTGGATGTGGAAATCCAATTTTTCCAGCACTGTTTATTGAAAAGACCTTTTTTCCCCCCTCTATGGAATGGACTTCGCATCCTTGCCAAAAATCAGTTCACCAAAGTATGTGGGTCTATTTTCAGATTCTCCGCTCTATTCCATTTGGCTGGTGTTGCTTGTTACACAGTACCAGGTGTTTTTGATCACCGTAGTTTCCTATAACTAAAATCCACTGCCATTGAGTCAGTTCTGGCTTACAGAACAGTGTTTCCCAGAGTAGGCAGTACTGCCCTGGTGGTGCAGGGAGTGCTAGACAATTTAGGGGCTGGCTACAAAAGCATATACCTACACTTTATCAAGGATTTGAGGTTATAGTTAACATTTTTTAATTGCCAGGGGGTGCTGAGTACTTTAAAATCAGAAAAGGGGGCAGTAGGCCTCTAAGTTTGGGTTTCGGAGATTATAAATTTTATCGGGAGCCAATGGCCTTCCTCGGTGTTGCTGATGGGTGTGAACCACGGACCTTTTGTATCGGAGTGTGAGTCCGACTTTGTTCTCTTTCAACATTGCTTTGACCATTTAGGGCAGTGGTTCTCAACCTTCCTAATGCCGCCACCTTTTAATATAGTTCCTTATGTTGTGGTGACCCCCCCCCCCAACCATAACATTATTTTTGCTGCTACTTCTTAATTGTAATTTTGCTATTGTTATGAATTGGGTGACCCCTGTGAAAGGGTTGTTCGACCCTCAAAGGGGTCGTGAGACCCACATGTTGAGAACCGCTGATTTAGGACCTCTTTCCTTTTCATGTAAGGCTAAGGAGTGGTTTTTCAGTTTCTGTAAAGAAGGCTATTGATCAGGCTTGCATTGAATCAATATATTGCTCTGGGTGGTATTGGTATCTCAACAGTTTTTCAATGCATGAGCCTGGACTCTGTTTACATTTAGTTAAGTCATCAGTAACCCTGCTTAAGGAGCCCAGGGAGCATAGTGGTTACAAGTTGGGCTGCTAACTGCAAGGCCAGTAGTTTGAAATCACCAGCTGCTTTGCAGGAGAAAGATGGGGCTTTCTACTCCTGTAAAGAGTTACAGTCTCGAGGGAGGCAGGGAAAGGGGAAAATGAAGAGCTGATATTAAAGGCTCAAGTAGAAAGATAATGTTTTGAAAGTGATGGCAACATATTTACAAATGTGCTTGACACAATGGATGGATGTGATAAGAATTGTAAGAGCCCCCAATAAAATGATTGGAAAAAAAAAAGTTACAGCCTCAGAAACTCACAGAGGCATTTCTGCTCTGTCCTGTAGGGTTGCTATGAGTCCCCATCAAGTTGATGGCAGTGATTTTGTTTTGACTGGTTAATCTCACTTAGCAATGGTTTATAGATTTCATTTTAGTCAAAAGTTAAGGTTTTGAAAATCTGTTTCAAAATTATCATGCTACAACTAATCTCATTTAAAGAGAAAGCCTGGTATTGGATTGACCAGTTACTTGAATAAAACATTTCTGACATTTGGAGTGTGGCCAGTTCTCATCTGAATACTTGATTTGAGAGCTTAAAGTTGAGAAGTATGTCTCGCACATGAGCCTTTATTGGCTTTGAAATTAGGTGGCAAAGCTGTGTGTGTGTGTGTGTGTGTGTGTGAATATGGAAATAGGAACGGCCTACCAATAGAACTGTTTTCATTTCCATAGGTTGTTAGTTTTAGCACAGTTCTTTCAATTAGTCCTTTTTATTTACTAGTTAGTATTTTCTTACATGGTCGAGAACTCCACTCTAACGTTCCTTCTGATTTCCCTGTTCCTGCTAGGAGATTGCACAGAGTTTAAAAGAGGAACAGAAGAAAGTGCCTCCCGAAGCTTCCTTCTCAGATGTGCGGCTGGAAGAAGCAGAGCCCAACGACCTAACCAAATCTGGTATGTTTTGATGTCTTGCTTTCCATCCTGTGTTCCTTCACTTCCTGCCTCTTTATTGAGCACTCACTGAGTCCCAGGCCTGAAAAACAGCCCGTGCCTTTGAGGACCCCATCAGCAGGTGGCAAGAGAAGTTAAACAAGGTAGTGTATTCTCTTTATGGTTCCCAGGTGTGTTGTCGGACGAGCGCCTGAGAGGGCCGTGAGTGACGTGATGCTTATGTGCTAAAACGATGTCAGGGCGGGGGCATCTCTGAGGAGATCAACAAGGCACACAGATACACATCTTCATAGGGGATATGTAGAGAGGCGGGTTCAGTGAGAGGCGAGGCATCTGAAGTGGAAATGATTATATAGCGGAGTATGAGAGAGCCGGGGCAAGTGTGGCTGAGGATGTGGTAAGGACGTACGGAGGAGTGGAAGAACAGACCACTCACCGTGGGCAGCTCATGGAGTTTGGTGCGTGGCGTAGGCAAGGTGCAGGTGGTCCTCGGGCTGGTCACAGAGTTTGGTGTGTGGGTATGTATGTACAGGTGGGACAGGCCAGATTGTGACAGGTTGTAGGTGTGGTAGCTGGGTTAGGGTAACTACATGGCCAGATGTGTATTTTGTAAACAAATGGTATGACTGGGAGGAAAGTAATTCCAGAAATGTGTAGGACAGCTTGAACAGGGTGTGTGTTATGCAGGAGACAAAGTTGACCGAGAATCACCCAGGAGCTTCATCTCTGAGAAAACACCAAATGGCAGATGATGCTGGTGCTGCCAGAGGGCCTGGAGGCCCCAGGAGCCCTGGAGCAGGAGCTGGCGGGGAGCGGCTTCCCGGGAGGCTTCGGCAGCAGTTTGTGGGGATGTGTTTGTGGCTAAGGAGCTCGTGGAGTCAAAGCTCCCTGTCACCAAGCAGGGTCGTCTGGTCAAGGAAGGAAGATCATGTCCCTGGAGGAGCTCTATCTGTTCTCCCTGCCCATCACAGGGAGTCTAAGATCATTGACTTCTCCCTGGGGCTGGCCCTCAAAGACGAGGTCCTAAAGATCATGCCTGTGCAGAAGCAGACCCAAGCCAGTGGACCAGGTTCAAGGCCTATGTTGCTATCGGGGACTACATCGGCCATGTTGGCCTGGGTGTCAAGTGCTACAAGGAAGTCGCCACTGCCATCTGTGCGGCCATCATCCTGGCCAAGCTGCCCATTGTCCCAGTGTGGTGAGGCTACTGGGGAACAAGATTGGCAAGCCCCACACGGTCTCCTGCAAGGTGACCAGTTGCTGTGAGTCTGTGCTGGTGCGTCTCATCCTTGCCCCCAGGGGCACTGGCATCATCTCAGCCCCTGTGCCCAAGAAGCTGCTGCTGCTGGCAGGGATTGATGACTGCTACATCTCGGCTAGGGGCTACACAGCCACCCTGGGCAACTTCGCCTAAGCCACTTTTGATGCCATCTACAAGATCTATGGATATCTGACCCCTGACCTCTGACCTCTGGAAAGAGACAGTGTTTACCAAGTCTCCCTACCAGGAATTCACTGACCATCATGTGAAGACCCACACCAGAGCCAGCTGTGGCTACCACATAGTCGGTTTTATATAAAAGGTAATAAAGTGAATTGAGCCTGCCCACCCCTAAAAGAAGTATCTCCCAGGATATTCATGAGACAACAAGCTAGATGGGAGGTGAACCAGTCTCTCTCTACGTGTGACTGCCCGGGGCCATGCTAGAGCTCACACAGGAACATTCTGTACACTTCAGAGCAGTGGTTCTCAACCTTCCTAATGCTGCAACCCTTTAATACAGTTCCTCATGTTGTGGTGCACCATATGTGGGCGTATCTGCATGTAGATGGACCCGCCTGGAGACGGATAGAGGAGACCATGAGAAATATGGTAGGTGACCACTGTGAAAGGGTTGTTCGACCCCCAAAGGGGTCACAACCCCCAGGTTGAAACCCGCTGCTGTAGAGGATCCTAGCTGCCCAACATCCCCCCCGGCTGGTATGCTAAGTCAACTCTGTAAACAGTTGGCTTCGCAAATCCAGCTGTCAGGTTTCCCTTCTGACAAAGCCAGTTTAGCATTTGTCTATAGTCAGGCAGCGCCATAGGGTTCTAATTGCCTTCTCAAATAGGACTCATGTCATGCCCAGCAGAGCTTGTCCATAGCGCACCTCTTCAGGGACTGTGAGAGGCTAGAGTTTGTGTCTGCCTTGCTGAACCTGGCTTTGGGCATTGTCCCTTTCCCAGGAAAACCCCTTCTTTCCCCATGACTGGTATTACAGTACGCGATTGCTGGCAGGACCACAAAGAGTGAACCCGAGGTGGTTGTGTTTCTCCATTTGAAAGGTAAAAGTGGTTTCCATCACCAGGTTGACATGGGGCGAGAGAGAGTGAGTGGATGAGGGATTGTGCTGGGAACTGGAGTCATCAGAATTTGGTGACCCATCACATGTGGGCGTTCAGGGAGCATTGAGCAAGGCCCCTGTGGAGCCACAGAGAGCCTGCTCGGTGGACAGTGCTCTGGGAGTGTCAGAGGAGAACTGTGTTCAGGGTTTTCAGTGGCCAGTTCTTTGGAAGTAGATCACCAGGATGTTCTTCTGCGGTGTCTCGGTGGTACTTTAATTTGGTAGTCACCAGCCACTGAGCCTGTGCCGTGTGGTCAGTCCAAGAGTGGCGAGAACGCTTAAAATACATGCCATATTTCAAAGACTAAAAAAACAGGAAAATAGCTCATTAGTCATTTTATATTGGTTATATATTCAAATAATACTTCGGATATGTTGGATTAAATACAATATAATAAAACATAATTCTACTTGTATAAGAAACACATTTCTTTCCCTGATAAACTTTTCAAAAATGGTTTTTACAGCGTACCGCAAACCATACACCAATTCAGTTCAGCCACTTGCCTGTGTCCATACAGGTTAGTGGCCTTCATCAAGCCTCCTTTTCGGACGTTTCCTCATCCTACCCTCACCCCCCTGGAGTTGCCGGTATTGTTTTGGGGGTTGTGTCAAGCACATTTATACATTTGTTGCCCTCATCATTCTCAAAACATTTGCTCTCCACCTAAGCCCCTGGCTACAGCTCCTAAGTTTTTCCCCTCCCTCCGCTCCTGCTTTCCTCACGGACCCTTGATAATTTATAAATTATTGTTATTTTGTCATATCTTACACTCTCCCACGTCTCTCTTCAACCACTTTTCTGTTTCTGTCCCCCAGGGAGGAGGTTATATGTAGATTCTTGTAATTGGTTCCCCCTTTCTATTGCCCCTTCCCTCCACCCTCCCAGTAGCGCCACTTTCACCCCTGGTCCTGAAGGGATCATCTGTCCTGGATTTCCTGTGTTTCCAGTTCCTATCTGTACCAGTGTACATCCTCTGGTCTAGCCAGATTTGTAAGGTAGAATTGGGATCATGATAGTGGGGATGGGGGTGGGGAAGCATTTAGGAACTAGAGGAAAACTGTATGTTTTATCGTTGCTACACTGCACCATGACTGGCTCATCTCCTTCCCACAACCTCCGTAAAGGGATGTCCAATTGCTTACAGATGGGCTTTGGGTCTCCACTCTGCACTCCACCTCATTCACAATGATAATGATTCTTTGTTCTGATGATGCCTGATCCCTGATCCCTTCGACACCTTGTGATCCCACAGGCTGGTGTGCTTCTTCCATGTGGGCTTTGTTGCTTCTGAGCTAGATGGCCGCTTATTTACCTTCAAGCCTTTAAGACCCCAGACCCTATATCTTTTGATAGCCGGGCACCATCAGCTTTCTTCACCACATTTCCTTATGCATCTGCTTTGTCTTCAGCGATTGTGTCGGGAAGGTGAGCATCATAGAATGCCAGTTTCATAGAACAAAGTATTCTTGCATTGAGCGAGTACTTGAGTGGAGGCCCAATGTCCACCTTAATACTAAACCTATACATATATGCACATAGATCTATTTCCACATCCCCATATATAAATATATTTACATATGTACATGCTTGAATTTAGACCTCTATAAATTCCCTTTGCATCTTATTTTCTCTATTTCCTTTTACTTTCCTCTTGTCCCACTATCATGCTTAGCCTTCATTTGGGTTTCAGTAATTCCTCTCGATTACATTGCCCTTGACCAATCCCTACCAGGCCTCTTCCACCCTCCTTGCCACTGGTTTTGGATCTCTTGTCCCTGGGTTGGTTAACTCCACGTCCTTTCCCCCAACCCTGGAGAACATTCTTTTTTTTTTTTTTTCTCTGGGTATAGTGTACTTTATTGATGGTACATGACAAGGTCGTTTTCTAAGCCCCTCCCCTTCCTTCAGGGGTCTGGATGGAATATTCTCAGTGTGTTGGGGGATTGAATTAGGGGCAAAGATTCCCCAGCAGCTGAGGGCCTTTCTTCCTCTAACGCTGTTGCTGGGGCTGGTGGTCCAGGGGGGCTCTTACTCCTTGGAGGCCATGTGGACCATGAGGTCCACCACTCTGTGGCTGTAGCCAAGTTCATCGTCATACCAGGAAATGAGCTTGACAAAGTGGTCATTGAGGGCAATGCCAGCCCCAGCATCAAAGGTGGAAGAGTGGGGGTCACTGTTGAAGTCACAGGAGACAACCTGGTCCTCAATGTAGCACAGGATGCCCTTTAGGGGACCATCAGCCACCACCTTCTTGATGTCATCATACTTGGCAGCTTTCTCCAGACGGCAGGTGAGATCCACAATGGACACATTGGGGGTGGGGACACGGAAGGCCATGCCAGTCAGTTTCCCATTCAGCTCCGGGATAACCTTGCCCACAGCCTTGGCAGCGCCAGTAGATGCGGGGATGATGTTCTGAGCAGCCCCACGGCCATCATGCCAATGTTTCCCAGAGGGGCCATCCACAGTCTTCTGGGTGGCAGTGATGGCATGGACTGTGGTCATGAGTCCTTCCACGATGCCAAAATTGTCATGGATGACCTTGGCCAGGGGGGCTAAGCAGTTGATGATGCAGGAGGCATTGCTGACAATCTTGAGGGAGTTGTCATACTTCTCGTGGTCCACGCCCATCACAAACATGGGGGCATCGGCAGAGGGGCAGAGATGATCAACCTTTTGGCACCGCCCTTCAAGTGAGCCCCAGCCTTCTCTACGGTGGTGAAGACACCAGTGGACTCTACGACATACTCAGCACCGGCCTCAGCCCACTTGATGTTGGTGGGATCTCGCTCCTGGAAGATGGAGATGGCCTTCCCATTGACGTTAAGCTTCCCATTCTCAGCCTTGACAGTGCCATTGAACTTGCCGTGGGTGGAATCATACTGGAACATGTAGACCATGTAGTTCAGATCAATGAAGGGGTCATTGATGGCAGCCATTTCCACTTTGCCAGAATTGAAAGCAGCCCTGGTGACCAGGCGCCCAATGCGGCCAAATCCGTTCACTCCGACCTTCACCATCGTGTCTTGGGATGCAGCTGGGACTGCACGGGAACGGGAGAGGCGGCTGTCTGTCTCACGAGGAGGAGCAGAGAGCCCTGGAGAACATTCTTAAGAGCACGATGCTCAAGGCAGTGCTTCTTTACTGATGAGGACAAACTGTTGTTTGGATTAAAGAAGATTGCAGGGGTATTTTGGTGTGAGGTTTCAAGGCAAACACATCCTTCAGTTTCTAGCTCTTGGCATGTTTTTCTCATACAGTACTGTCTGGAGCTATTGGGGTGGGCAGGTGTGGAGACACTGATTGAGAGTGTTTGGTACTTCAATCTCAGAAGCAACAAAGCCCACATGGAAGAAGCACACCAGCCTATGCGATCACGAGGTGTCAAAGGGATCAGGTATAAGGCATCATCAGAACAAAAAATCTTACCATAGTGAATGATGGGGGGAGTGCGGAGTGGAGACTCAAAGCCCATCTGTAGACCACTGGAGATCCCCTTGCAGTGGCGTCTCAGGGAGGAGACGAGCCAGTCAGGGTGCGATGTAACAACGATGAGAAATACAACTTTCCTCTAGTTCCTAAAGGTTTCCTCCCCGCTCCCACTACCATGATCCAGATTCTACCTTGCAAGTCTGGCTAGACCAGAGGATGTAAACTGGTACAGATAGGAACTGTAAACACAGGGAATCCAGGGCAGATGATCCCTTCAGGACCAGTGGTGTGAGTGGCGATACTGGGAGGGTAGAGGGAGAGTTGGTTGGAAAGAGGGAACCGATTACAAGGAACTATATGTGACCTCCTCCCTGGGGGACGGGCAACAGAAAAGTGGGTGAAGGGAGACGTCGGACAGGGCAAGATATGACAAAATAATAATTTATAAATTATCAAGGGCTCACGAGGGAGGGGGGAGAAGGGAGGGAGGGGGAAAATGAGGACCTAATGCCAGAGGCTTAAGTGGAGAGCAAATGTTTTGAGAATGATGAGGGCAATGAATGTACAAATGTGCTTTACACAGTTGATGTATGTATGGATTGTGATGAGTTGTATGAGCCCCTAATAAAACAAACGATTAAAAAAGAGAGAGAGAGTGTTTGGCACTCTGGGCTAGTATAAGCTTGCCCAGAAGGACAGCAGTAGGGTGCTGATAGCAGAATGCCAGGAGAGAACGTCAGCCAGGGTAGACTGGGGACAGGCGCCAGAGGTGGGAAGCACAGCTGGTCTCCTGTGGTTGATGGCACAGGAGGAGGGGCCGGCCATACGCTTTGAGTTGGAGGAACACAGTGGAATCACAGGCACCTTGTGGCTAGAGTGCGTTTAATTAGGATGTATACAAAATCTTAGTCTGAGGTCTCCCTGTAGGGTCCGGGGTCAAAGGATGGAAGTGCATGTCTCTGGAGCTGAGATGGCTCAGCATCTCTGAAGACATGGTGTCACACATATTGTTCATTGCCCATTTAGTTAAGCAGCTTAGAAGGAGGCGAAAATTGTGGAGTCAGGTGCCAAGGGGAAGAGGCTCGTTTCTTTTCATGGTTCTGAGTTAGCTTGGAAGGGAAAGCATAGAAGCCTCCCAGAGAGAGGGCTGTCAGCAGCCTGTGGTTCATGTGCCAGAACTGAGTGTCAGGAGCTAGAACTAGGGGCAGCGTGGCAGAGGTCTGTTTATTGAGGTGGGTGACCAGCATCTGCAGAAACCGTAGACTGTTCTGGAAGAACAGCTGAGAGGGGAGAGGTGAGGCATTCGGCAGGAGATAGGAAGGGCCCGTGGGTCTATGGAAAAGCTGCCTCCCTGAGTCTTGCTGTGTTCTTCAGAGAAGCCTTGAGCACCCCTTGCCTTCTGCTGGGGCTGCGCAAGTAAGTTCTTGGCTGATCGGCTGTCAAACAGAAACACGACTAAGGAAGGAACCAAGCTAATGGAGATCTTAAACATACTGACACATTTGTTTCACTAAACTTTTAGAGGGGGGTATTTTTTCAGCTGTGTGTTTTCAGAGCATAATCCTGAATAAAGCTCTACAGATCCTGTCTCTTAAATAATCTTTGATAGGATTTGTCTATTTTATTTTACGTTTTGTTGTAATCATTAGAAAACTTCATGTCCAACAGGTATCTTAGTTTAAAAGAGCTTAAGGATCTTAGGGACGAGCTATTAAAAATTGCACAAATATTACTTGGTTTTGAAAAAAATCAGATTAAAGAGCACCTAACCTCTGCATTCCTTCTCCCCTCCCCATAAAGCCTCTTCCCCGCCCCCGCCCTTCCCACTTGGTCTAAGTGAGCAATCTGTTTGGGGAGCTGAGAGGGGGAGAATTAGATTTTATATTTTGTTCTGAAACTTGTCCTTTTTTGCTACCACTATTATGGGTATAATTTTCTTTTTAATTATTGAAAAAAATTTAAATAGAAAAGTAGAAAGAAGAATACAATGAATGATGACCACCCAGACCCATCCACCACCTGGATTTAAGATATTTCTTTTTCTCTCTCACTCTGTGGGACTTCAAAAAGTTCATGGAAAAATCCCAGTACCTTTCCATTCCATTTTGCATTAACCTTGAAGTTCTGTACATATTTATTTATTTTGTTATACATACCATTTGAATTTTCACCTATCCAAAAAAAGATGCTTCTTATATAATCACAGCCGATTATCTCACTAACAAATTACCAACATTTTCTAGTATCCTGTAGTACTTAGATCATATGTAGCTAGCAACTGTTGTCTCTCAAATCTATATTATGCCAAACCCATTTGCTTGGCTTGTTTGAAATGTGGCTCCGTTAGCCCTAGTGATCATGCTTCTCTTACAAAGGTTTTTCTCTTCCCAGCTGTACCCCACCCCTTGGCTTGCCTCATATTGGTCTGAAGGTGTCGGGGACATCTGTCTTGGTCATTGGGAATTTGATACACTAACAGGGCCTGGACTAGAGGACTCAGGCCCTGGGGGAGGCTGTCAGGCAAATCACCTCTGATTGACCTTCCTGTATATACTAGCTTCAAAGTCTTGTCACTCCTCCACCTCACCTGCTCCCCCTCACTTTAATCTGACCCCTTATAGATTTTCTCTGATTTAATGGCTGCATGGTGGTCTGTTAGAAGATTCCATATATTCCTCATTCATGTCACAGAGATTGATTGATCACACGGTTACACATGTATGTATAGGACTGAATTGCATAAATGTATATGTCACATGTTCTCACTTACTGTGTTAAATCTCACTGGTGACAGTGACTCATGTAGATCCTTCATGGTGTTTTTGGTTAAAGGTGAGGCTGGAAGAAATTGATGCTCTCCAACTGGTGATAGTTAACGAGAATCTTTTATAGATGCTGCTCAGTGTGTTTTAAGACAAACATCCATATGTGTGAAATGTGTCTTTTCCATTTGGGTTTCAGGCTCTGTAGAATCCCTCAGTCCTAGAGCACAGACCACGATTTCTCCAGCAGACCTCCATGGGATGTGGTACCCGACAGTCCGGCGAACGCTCGTCTGTCTCTCCAAATTGTACAGATGCATAGATGTATGTTGGTCAACTCTTGTATCTTTACTTTCAACTATTTGGTTTTCATTTGAAATATTTAAAAAATTTTAAGATCTGTATATTATTTTTAGTGTTCTCAAAATGATAAGATTTTTGATAGAGCTGTAAGTTTAAGATACATCTGTTTAGAGGTCTTAACCTGAGCAATCTGTAGACCCTGGAATCCACTTATGGGCTCTGGAAAGTCTCGGAGCGCTCTGAAATTGGGGTAGAATTTTGCATGTAGGTTTATGTGTATGTCTTTCTGAGACTGGTTTTAGTTTTCACGATAGCTTTTGATTCTCCAAGGATTTCTGATCACAGCTAAGTTTAAAAGTACTGGTTAATTCATAAGTCTTAGATGAGGAAACAGAGGTGCAGAAAGTGCAATGGAATAAGTCTGATGTCACATGGGTATAATGTATATGTAATACTTAAGTGCAGCTCCTTTAGTTGTGCACTCAATTTGAATTGGCATCCTTAGCAAGTGGTAAGACTGCCTGTGTTTTAGACTGTTGAAACTCCTCACCTCATGGAGACCATATTGCACAGAATAGAACTGCTGCTCTATACGTTTCCAAGGATAGTTTATAAAATAAAAATGCTTGTAGCTCATTTTTATATTTATTAGATTGTCACAGCCCTAGTGACATATCAAAAATGATTAAATGTAATAGTCATAGAAGGAGCTTCCCAGATGCCACTATTTCTTGAAAGGGCCCCAGAGGCATGAACGCGGGAATTGCCAGTTGGATTCCTTCCCGCTCTTGTGCGGGTCCATTCCCAAGCTAACTTGGCTTTGTGATCGGTGGATGGCCGCACCAGGTGTGCTCAGTCACATACGGTTCTCATCTCATCAGGGTGCTTTCATAAAAGCATATTTGTGTGCCATGGAAAAAAATTATTTTGAGGACAAAAATTTTAAGAAAACTCAAGTGAACTTCTCAAACATGGAGTCTATGTTGAGAAGCAATAGCTTTACATATTGATCATTTTGCTCAGTAAGTTTTGCTGCTTTGTAGCACTGCTTTTTTACTTACCTTCATCCATTCTCACAGGGAGCCTGGGCCAGGTGCACAGTTGTTTTGTGGATCTGTGGGGTGCAGATTACACTGCATCTGTTTAAAACTATAGATACTGGGACCTGTACTTGGAGATTTTGAAATTCAACCTGAGTGCCCTTTGCTGGGTTCTGGACTTTTGGGGGTGAAGCCAGATCATGCTTCCTGGTTTAGATGTCTCAGCCTTTTCAAACTCATGAGTCGAGATCTCTTCCCGTCCTTTGCAAACTCATGAGATGAGATCTCATCCCGTCTTGTCTGAAGTGCTGCCAGTTGACGTTTTTCTTTCCTTCCACCAGAGAGCAGTGTTCCAAGGATTATCACAGGAAGCCTTGTCTGCCTGCATTCAGTCCTTGTTGGGAGCATCAGAGTCTATCAGCAAAAACAAGGTTTGATCAAGTGTTCCCTGGAACTTTACTGCTTTTCAGCAATATTGTGAAATGAAGGATTTATCTCCAGGCACAACAATGTGCAGCCATTTTGGTCATTGGTAGTTTGTTTAGTGAGCTTTGCACTCGAAGTTCGTATTTCACCTCGGTGTTGAATGCAGACTGTGCTGCATAGAAGAACGCCAGCTTTGGCAGAAGAGAATGCAGCTAAGGTTCCATGGGCGAGGGGGTCAGCGCTTGCGGCGGCTGAGGAAGTGGTGGGCTTCTGGTAGCCAGGAACAGCACAGAGTGTTCTCAAGGAAAAGTAGCAGTTTTTATCATTGTTCCTACCAAGATGTTTGAAATAATGTGGCCTTCACATGCAGTAAAAGAGCCAGGCAGTTTTGAGCCTTAGCAACTGTGGCCTTGAGTCATGTGACTACAAGTTGCAGCCATGCCACCAGACTTGGTGGTTTGCTGTGGGGAATCTAGAAGGGACCTGGGTCAAGGCTGTAGATACGAGCGCCCCCCAGGGGCCGCCGAGCTCACAGTGTGGCTCTGAGCGCCACTCTACCCCGGAAGGCCGCAGAGGCTCCTTGCTTCCAGCCAGGGTTTCATTGCTACTTGGCGTGCAAACCTGGTGAGCCTCCTGGACTTCCAGACGTACCTACTGGATTTCTAACTTGATTAAAAAAAGAAATCTCCCCACGGCAGGATTGGGGATCCTGGTGCCAGTCACCTCCCTCATTGTTTATGACTACCCATCCTCCTCAGGGCCTGGAGAGTAGACATGGATTCTTGATATGGGGACAAGAGGGGACAGAAAGTTACACTCTAGGCAGGCTGCTGGCAGCTTTACAAAAGGATTTCCAGGCTGAGCTCTGGCTCTCACATTTTTTTTCATAATAGGTGAAATTCAGAGAGGCCCGTGTGCTGTCAGGTTAGGGTAACGGCTGAGTGATGGCACGTTCCAAACACTGCTGCCTTACACAGCTGTTCCGTTAAAAGGCCAGCTTACACATCAGCTCCCATAGCTGAGTAAGTAAATAAGAAGAGGGTACAGATCAGATACAATACACAGCACGCCTTTCATCATGTGTGAGAAATGCATCGAAAGCATGTACACTGAAAGCCCTTGGGCAACTGTTGTGTTTTTCTTCCTCTGTTCCCTACATCTTATTTAATTTTCCAGATTTCCCACAATTATCTTGTTTCTGGACAATCAGAGGAGGAAAGTATGACCTGATTTTTTAAAAAACCAAGTGGATAGACTTACATCTTCAGTACCACTGTCCCCTTTTGCCCTTACCTGAGGCCATCCTGTCCTAGCTAATTTTCTTAGCTGTGTTTATCAGGGTCTGAACTGTAGGTGGAGTAGGCTCACTTTGGTTAACTAATGGTGGACATTTTCTTTTTTTTTTTTAATCGTTTTATTAGGGGCTCATACAACTCGTATCACAATCCATACATGCATTAATTGTGTAAAGCACATTTGTACATTCATTGCACTTATCATTCTCAAAACATTTGCTCTCTACTTAAGCCCCTGGCATCAGGTCCTTATTTTGCCCCTCGCTCCCCGGTCCCCCTCCCTTATGAACCCTTGATAATTTATAAATTATTATTTTGTCACATCTTGACCTGTCCGACATCTCCCTTCACCCACTTTTCTATTGTCTGTCCCCCAGGGAGGAGGTCACATGTAGAGCCTTGTAATTGGTACCCTTTTTGCAACCCACCCTCCCTCTATACTCCCAGTATCACCACTCACACCACTGGTCCTGAAGGGATCATCCGCCCTGGATTCCCTGTATTTTCAGTTCCTATCTGTACCAGTGTACATCCTCTGGTCTAGCCAGACTTGCAAGGTAGAATTCGGATCATGATAGTGGTCGGGGAGGAAGCATTTAGAAACTAGAGGAAAGTTGTATTTTTCATCATTGCTACATCGCACCCTGACTGGATCGTCAGACATTTTATTTTCATGGCCCAGATTATGTAGTTTTTTTTGCCTTTGAACTTTAAAGAATATTCAGTGATAATAACTTAATGTCTTTGGGACAATTTTTAGTCTTTTAAGGACAAAACAAAACTTGCTCTTGTAAACATAACAAACGAGCCCTTGGTGTGTGCCATGCACTGTGCTGTGCCAACAAGCCATTTCCATAAAGTCCCGGGGTATTGCCGAATTGTCAGAGGTTTTGTAAGGCAAGTGTCATCCATCTTGTACGTTTAGTACCCAGCAGAATGGTTACTTCTGTGAAAAACAGCAGATAATGAAAACATTGGCATTTTCTGTATCAGGTGCTCTGTGTTCCAAAACGCAAAGTGAGTCTCCATGGTATCAGTCATACTTAAATTGATTGTGTCTGTTGAGTACCCCCCCCCACACACACACACAGCAGGGAGGGAGGGAGGGAGGGAGGGGACACCTTGTTTCACAAATCCTGTAAGGTTTATATTGCGGACAGAGTTGAGACATGTTTAGACGGAGATCTTCTCGTGGTAGCTGACTCAGTCTGCTTGTGGCGTATGTATAAACTCGCTTCGGAAATGAGTGCTGTGATGATTTATCAATATGGGCTTGGTTCAGAGCTTTGAGATTTAAGCTTGAAGCACAGATACTTATGTCTAGACCTCAGGAGAGCAAAAGGGAAAGAAGTGACTGAGGGTGGATGGAGTCCATGCTCTGCCTGACAGCCCAGTCCAGAATAGTAACCCCTACGCATTGTCTGTACTTTTGTGAAACTAGGAGTCTGTGTGATGTTCTGAATTTTGAAGCACCTGGAGACCAAATAATGAATGCCGTGTTACTGAAGAGAAACTGGGAAGCCCACGGGGTCGGGATTCAGCTCAGGGTGGGCTCTGCCTTACTGCCTTCTTTGTGTGGGGTTTGGATTCATCATTTCCTCACCACCTTAAAATGGAGTTGGCTTCTCTCTTTAACTGTGTCCTTTGATAGCCTTTCCTTTGACACACTTTTTTGGATTACTGAGTAGAGCAGGTGAGAGTGTGAAAGAGTTTGAAAAATATTTACCTGGATGATTTCCTAACTTGAGTCCTATGCGGGGAGCTCATTGCATCACACAGGAGAAGTTGGATCTTATAGGTGGGATAATGGCCGTAAGCCTGGGTAGACTAATGCTGATTCATGTTATAAGCATTATGGATGTTTGTTTTTATTTAATCTGTAATAATACAGGGTGTTTTTTTTTTTTTGTTTCGCAATACAGACTCAGATTGATGGACAGCTTTTCTTAATTAAGCACCTTTTGATACTTCGTGAACAAATTGCTCCATTTCATACTGAATTCACCATTAAGGAAATTTCCCTGGATCTCAAGAAAACTAGAGGTACTTCATTGGCCTGGCTGGCACAGTTGGGTGTGTTTGACCTCTCCAGATGTGTCAGCCTGGGTTATAGGTTTACTTCTTGTTCATCTGCAATTTTTTTTTTGCATGATTTGCTTGCTAATAAGCATGTTACTCCTTCCTGCTAAGCTAAGCTATCAACATCTTAATTACTTATAACTTGCTGTGTTGTCTTTATGGCAGCAACTCTGAGCATTTCAGTTTACAAACATAATATTACCTGTCATAGGTTCTGTGCACATCTGATAATAATAACTAATAAAAAATGAGGTACAGTTTAGTAACTATCCACTCCTTAGACTTACTGACATGGTTAGGGGCTAGGTTGTTGTATGAAAACCAGTGTTGTGTGCAAATGATCCCTACATGGAAGACAACTGCATCATGAACTCGGTGCCAAATGACATCATCACACACCATGGCTGCCAGACCACTGAGAACTATAGTCCAACCACACTGACACCCAGCTGTACTCTCCTAGGTGTTTGTTTCTCCATCTGTGCGAATTAGATAGAAGGAAAAAACCCAAAAAACTTGTCATAAATGTAGATGTCAGATAATGAGATAATCGATAAGGGAGGAGTAGGTGGACTTCAAGGTCAGCTAATTGGGATCATTTTAAGTACTGAATTGACCAGTTAGTCTAAGGTGACCAGATTTTAACATTGGTAAAGTGGGACAAAAGTGGGACACCATTGATAAAACTCATATCCTGGCAAAATAACCACATGGCAGCCGAAAACCGTACACCCTAGCTTGTCATGCATTCTTTCCAAAAATCGGGACTTTTTAAAAATGCCGCAGGACACGGGGAAAATTGTTAAAAATCAGAACTGTCCTGCCAAAAGTGGGACATCCGGTCACCTTAGGTTAGTCACTTTATGAAAATTCAAGAAGCCAGCTTGATACAATGGGGTAATGAACTGGGAAGAGAGCTTCTGTAAGAGCCTTTGAGGGTTGAGTTCTGTCACTGGCTCACCTTTGCTAGACTTGTATGATCTTGAGTCCCCACCCCAGCTTTCTTATAGGTGAAAGGATCATGATAAATTTACCCTGATCCTTCATCAGGTTATCAAGATCATATGTTAACGTGCTTTGTAAGTTTGAAGACGCTTAAGTAAACATAAATATTGTTATTGAATCACCTGGTTGTTATGTAACGCCCCGTGGTGGCTCAGTGGTTAAGCACTTGGCTGCTGGCCAGAAGGGTAGCAGTTCCAACCCAGCAGCTTCTCTGCACGTGAGAAATGAGGCATTTTGCTTCTGTAAAGATTTACAGCCTTGGAAACCGGACCGGGCAGCTCTACCCTGTTCTATAGAGTCACACTATGAGTTAGAGCCAGCTGGAAGGTGGTGGGTTTTGAGCTGTTCAGTAATCATATAGATATAGTTGCTGCATTGGGAATAAACATTGAATTATCCCTGGAAAGAGAATTTATCCACCGAAGAGCTTGTGTCTGACTGGGTTAACAAGAGCTCATTTGTAAAAGGTCAAAGTAGTTACTTTCCAAGAGGTTGGGGCTGTGCCATAAACAGCCCCCCATAGCTTTTATTCCTTACAAATTGATCTGCCTATCATTTTTTCTCAACCGTCTCCAAGAGACAATTAGTCCCTCATGTTCTAAGCCCTCCTTTTATACAGTGAGTAAACTTTTTTCTTGTGTCTTGAGAGAATTGCACTTCTAGTCTGGTGGTGTGGTGTGCTCCGTGGTTCTGAGGAAAGCCTACCAAAGTTCAGAGGCTTGAGTGCTTTTGCCCCAGGGTACCGGCTTGTTCACCGGTGGGCCGGCGTGGAGTGGCCCCCTGGGGAGCCCAGGGAAACATGCTCGCTCTCTCCCTTTGCCGTGCGTGCTCCCCTTCCTCAGGACGACGGCCTTGGTGCTCTCCTGCCGGGCTCTGGCTGCTTAACCGGTGTGCTCTTCATCCACTAAACACCACAACAGTAGTTAAAAACAAAATGTAAATACAATTTTAAAAACAGTAAAAAATACCACTTGTCATAGTTCTTGGCGTCTACCTTTACAGAATGAAGATTTTCTTGAGCATATTAAATGTATATTAATGTATCTATTATATGTAAGGGGACTTTGAAGAGCTGATGAAAAATGGAATTGAAAAATAATGGAATTTTCCCACAAACTTTTAAAAGTCCTATTGTATATCTGCACATGTCATGTGTGTATTTCCGTATATATACACACAGGCAAATATACATCTGACTTAAGAATACATCATTCTTTAAAGCTTATTCTCCTGAGGGTATCCATCTCTCTGTTCAGCCTCCTACCAGGCTGCATTTTGTCCTTACCTTATATAAATGAGTGAAGAGAGAGAGCGGGGTGGACTTTCTTTTAGTTTTTCCTAATAAGTAATTTGTTGCAGCTTGATTTGAGTGTAACACCACTGAGGAAATGAAATAACCTTAAATTTTGGCCAAATTCAGCTTAAGGCTGTTTTCTTGAGAAAGTTAAAAAAAGGTATGTGACCCTGCCCTCTGGTGAAGATTCCGTGCTTTGAGACAGAATCTTTCTGATAGCTTGTAAAACAGGCAGTGGAAGCCGGGCCGTGTGCTAAAGCTTTACACTGAATAGGGCCTCTGACCAAGGGCCTCTCTTTCCCACCACGGTCAGAGGCAGTGTACGCACCTCAGTGTCTGCTTGCAGGTTCCTAGGCCTGGGAGACTGGAGCTGCCCTTTCTCCAGTGTGGCAAAGCAAAGCGGTGAGCCTGTCTTGCACTTAATAATTCTTGCTTACTCCATTCTGTTAGTGTCTAACCTCTCCCAACTAATTGCTAAATCTTATTGCATTTGAACATCAATGAGACCTCGGTTAGTCCTCCGCATAGATTCTAGTTAGTCTGGAGGTTAAGGGGCAAATATGTCCTTATGGTGTTTTCTTGCTGGCTGACACATAAGTTTATTCACTCTATTTCCAATGAATAAATTTCTGTGCCAGCCAAGACCATCACATGAAGTTGTGGGTAAGTATGTGGATACTTTAAAAAAATCCCATCGGACACCCTGAAAGCCACACAGTGATAATAAGGTGTCAGTAAAAAAACCAAACCAACCATTGTTCATCTTATTTGGTCATATTTTTTCTGTGTACATGAATAACTGCAGTGAGTGTGTGGGGGTCCGGTCACCCTCATCTGTTCATGGAGGAGGGCGAGTGGGTGGTCCTGTGGCTGCTGTGGCTTTGTGGTGGAGGGTATGTTGCACATTGAACAGTAAGCAGACTTCTCTGTTAACATGCTACTCGCTCACTGGATGAGTAATTTTGTTTCACAGATGCAGCATTTAAGATCCTGAACCCTAAGACTGTTCCACGATTTTTTAGGCTGAATAGCAACAATGCTTTGATAGAGTTTTTGTTGGAGGTGAGAAGGAATCTCTTTCATTGGTGGTGGTGGTGGTGGGTGAGGGCGGATGGACTGGTGGCTTCCAGGCTCATAACCACAAGAGGAAATTGTCATCTCCTTAAGGGCACTCCTGAGATAAGAGAGTATTACCTTGACTCCAAAAAAGACGTGGACCGTTACCTGAAGTCGGCCTGTGAGCAGTTTATCCAGCAGCAGACCACGCTGTATGTGCAGCAGCTGGAGGAGTTTCTGACCAAGGTACAGGCCACACTGCACGCGCAGTGGATGGGGTACTTGTGGATTCTTCCAGAGGGCATTTTGAACTACTCTCAGGGCAAAGCTCATGGCAGGAGGATGTGGAAGAGTACTGCCTGGGCTTCCTGTCGGGAAACGTTTTGCTTTGAGCGTGTTTGGGCATTTAGGTATGTGTGTGGAGGTTGCGGTTCGTAAGCATAAGAGTGAAAACCCCGCAAAGGCACCGTTCTGTTGACGGTCTTTGTAGGTTATCTGCTGTGGCCTCTGACCAGGCCTCCTGAAGTGGGCCTGGCCTGTGCATTGGAGGTACCTATCACTTAAAACAGACTTCTTGTTTGACCAGCTGTTGCTCCCTTCCCTTCTGCCTAGCCAATTGAGAACTAAAGGTTTATTGATGTCTGCTACATTGTTAAGCACCCGGCAGTTGGTCCAGCTTTCCTCCTTCCAGCAACCATTCATCAGCTGGCTAAACTGTCTGATGTCAGCAATGAAACATTAAGATCATGGCCAACATTTGTTTCAGCCGAATCTGTTTTCGTTTAGCTGTCCTTATTAAGGACTCTCTTTTGTCATAATTTTTAAAGTCTTAAGAATAACTCATGAAACCTCTGCTGTTTGTAAGTAATTGTATTAGACGATAGAATCATACCAATGATAAAAATATGATGATCATTTCTTTCGAATTTAACTCCCAAGTCTTACTGGGGAGACAAGATAAATGAAGGTGAGTACAAAAGTATTGCTACTAAGGTTCTAGTTCACACATGCACAGGTTTATTCCAAAGAAGACATAAACGCGTCTCCATGTTCAGTGGATGGCTTCAGATGAGGGCTCTCAGTCACACGCTCGGCGCAGTCTCATCGGGACACCTCCAGAGGTCCAGTGAAAACAGTGGCTTTCCCATAGGTCTGCTGGGCCAGGTAAATTCAAGGAAGCAGGTCAGATCAGAAGGCGCTGGGGCTGCTTTGGGGAATTCCAAAGAGGCACTTTTGGGTAAATTTTCTCGAGGGACACAGTGATCACTAGGGCTTGTTAGGTTGAAGTTTATGAGAATGGAAAACTTTGATTGCTGAGGGAAAGACCAGGAAAGTTGTGCGGAGGAGTTTTCCATGTTCCCCTTTAAAAAAAAAATTTTTTTTTTGCTCCTTCAGGCTTCTCTTTGTTCACAAAACTAAGAGAACATAGAAAAAGAGCACAGTTTGATTCCCTTAAGGGTGCTCAGACTGTTCTGAACATGGCATGAACTGAAGAGAGCAAAATTCTTCACGTAGGCACTAGAGAGATGGAAACACTGTCTTCAGAAGTGTATCGACCTCGAAGAAGTATTTGTGGGGAAATTACAATGTCATGTTTCATATTTTTGTTTAATCAAAGTACAGCCAAGTGACAACAAAGCAAATGACCCCATCCACACTAAGACGGTAATGACAGAAGATACTCTTTTAAACAATAAAGAAATATGGGAGGGTAGAGGGAGAGTGGGTTGGAAAAGGGTAACCCATTACAAGGATCTGCATGTGACCTCCTCCCTGGAGACCAGACAACAGAAAAGTGAGTATAAAGGGAGACGTCGGACAGGGCAAGATATGACAAAATAATGATTGATAAATTATCAAAGGTTCATGAGGAAGGGGGAAGCGAGAAAGGAGGGGAAAAATGAGCTGATGCCAGGGGCTTAGGTGGAGAGCAGATATTTCGAGAATGATGAGGGCAATGAATGTACAAATGTGCTTTACACAATTGATGTATATATGGATTGTGATAAGAGTTGTATGAGCCCCTAATAAAGCGATTAAAAAAAAAAAAAGATCCAAAAAGCAAATATGAACCCATTGCTCTCAAGCCAGTTCTCATTAAAGACATGGTAAGGTCATCCAGCTACCTTCTGTTGTTAGGATGTACAAGTGGATGTGTCCAGGGGACTTGAGTCCTTTTGCACCTATTAGGGATTTGGTGGGGAGGTGCATGTGGGTCTTTTAGCCCCCACACAAATTTAAAAGAACATGGAAATGTTTCTAATAAGAGTTTTGAGTTTTAAAGCAATGCGGATGCTGATACTTTGCAACTTTTACACAAATCACCGTATATATTTTTTTAACAGAAATTTCCCTCATAGAAAACAATCTTTCAGATTACAATACAGAGTTTTGGATTCATGTCCACATTATATTGGTTGGGGTGTTGTCGATGGGCAATCTGTAGTCTTAACAAGAACAAAATTAATATTTTGAAGTATTTATAATGGAATCTAGGATTAAAGGGTCCCTGTATAGTTTTCTTTTTTCTAATCAGTATATCTCATTTGTCAATTTGTGCCTCCTCTGTGTTTGTGTCCTTCCCTATTTCTGATAACCTTTGGATTCCCTGTGCCAAAGTTCTCAAGTTGGTCCCAATTCCCTCATTGATGGCCTTAATAGTTTGGGATTTAACTTCAAGGTCTGTGATACACCTTGAGTTTATTCTTGTGTATGGAGTGAGATTAGGGTCTTGCTTCATTTTTCTGCAAGTAAATATCCATTTTTCCCAGCACCACTTGTTAAAGAGGGCATCTGCTTCCCATTGGATATTTTTTCGGCCCTTGTCAAAGATCAGTTGTCTGTATGCTGATGATTTTATTTCTAGGTTTTCAGTTCTTTTCCATTGGCCTGAGTATCTGTCATTGTACCAATACCATGCGGTTTTGACCACTGTATATGCTAAAGTCAGGTAAAGCAAGCCCTCCCACTGTGTCCTTCTTCTTGAGGAGTTCTCTGCTAATTCTGGGCTTCTTCCCTTTCCATATGAAGTTGGTAATCAGTTTT